CCTTCTGACAACAGGACCAAAATGTGTGAGACGAAGTCTGGTCATCCTTACTTCCAAGGAGCATCCTGGCTCCACTCCTCCAGGACAAATTTGTTAGTCCTTTTAGTAGATCATGGTAGGCTTAGAATTCCTCTTCAATACCTCAACTCAAAAGCATCAACTCTTCTTCAGTCTTCCTTATTAATTGTCCAGCTCTCACATGCATAAGAAGCAATTGAAAATACCACGGCTTGGGTGAGGAGCACCTTTGTCTTCAAGGAGACATGCTTGCTCTTCATCACTTGAAAGAGGTCCTTTGCAGCAGATTTTCCTAATGCAATATGTCATCTGATGTCTTGACTGTTGATTCCATTGGTGTTGATTGAAGAACCAAGGGATATGAAATGCTTGACAGCTTCCATCCTTTCTCCATCCACTGTGAAAATGTTTATTGGAATGATTGTGAGGATTTTTGTTTTCTTTATATTGGGGAGTAATCCATACTGCAGACTGTAGTCTTTAATCTTCATCAGTAAATGCTTCAAGTCATCCTTACTTTCAGGAAGCAAAGTTGTGTCATTTGCATGTCACGAGTTATTAATGAGTCTTCCTCCAATCCTTATGCCATGTTCTGCTTCATACAATCCATTTTCTTGTATTATTTGCTCAGCATACAAGTTGAATAAGTATGGTGAAAAGATGCAACCTTGACGCACTCACATCTTGATTTTGAGCTATGCAGTATCCCTTGTTCTGTTTGAATGATAGGCTCCTGATCTATATACAGCTTCCTCATGAGTACAATCAAGTGTTCTGGAATTCCCTCTGATTACAAATGTCAATTGTGTTGTGATAGATGCTTTGTCTCTGAAATCCTTGCTCTGTAACTTATTGGCTGGATGGCTCACGTAAATTGCAGTATCAGCAGTAACTATATGCACTGTGTCTCACAACAGTGTCTCAGCTTTGGCAGAGAAGGTCCGAGTTACATCAAAGATGTTGCAAAAGTTTTAGATAATGCATGCATATTACTTAACTTAGCTAATTATTATTAGTACAGAATTGGTAGTCTTAGTAAGGATGTCCTTAACAGAAGTTCTATATTGGCAATAATTTTGTCAATTATTAAAGCTTATTGTTTTGTTTCTTGAAGTACATTACTTGCTAGTTTTTATTGTGGGGCACAATCAAAGTTTTAATCACCCTGCTGTTATGAGTAAATGTACAATTTCTCTTAGCTTTTTAAAGAAAGTGAAGGATAACTTTCAGTGTTAGATTCTGTTCTAAGAACTTTATTTCCAAAAAAAAAAAAAAAAAAACCTCATTGCCATTGAGTCAATTTAACTCATAGTGACCCCTCCTTGGGTTTCTGAGATGGTATCTCTAGAGAAGTTGATTGCCCAATCTTCCTTCTGAGTGGTGGATGATGGATTTGAACTATCAGCCTTCTAGTTTTCAGTCAAATGTCTTAGGTACCATGCTACCAGAGCTCCTTTATTTAGTCCAAGGAGCTCTGGTAGCATAGTACCTAAGGCACTTGACTGCTAACCAGAAGGCTGGCAGTTCAAACCCACCAGCCACTCTTTGGAAGGAAGGTTGGACAATCTACTTCCATAGTGATACTGCCTTGGAAACCCAAAGAGGGGTCACTATGAGTCAGGTCTGACTTGATGACAAATAGCAACAACAACATCATACTCTTTCTTCACCACTTTGTCAGTTTTACATACTCTTCTGGGTCACATGTTGCTGTGATGTTGGAAGCTGTGCCACTGGTTTTTCAAATACCAGCAGGGTTACCCATCGTGGATCATGGATGCATCATTTCAGGAATGTATCATTTCACCATACTTAGCTGAGGAAATAGTCTGAGAAATTGGACGGTATGAAGAACGTAGCATCAAGATTAGAGAAAGACCCATTTACAACCTGCTATATGTAGATGTACAACTTTCTTTGCTGAAAGTGAAGAAGACTAGAAGCACTTATTGATGAAGATCAAAGACTTAGTCTTTGCTATGGGTTACACCTCAACATAAAGAAAACAAAAATCCTTACAACTGGACCTTTTAGGAGTGATCAGCCCCTGGAAAAGGACATCATGCTTGATAAAGTAGATGGTTAGTAAAAAAGGAAAAAAAAAAAAAAAAACACTCAAAAAGATGGATTGACACAGTGACTTTACAGCATCTTGATAAATGGAGAAAAACTTGGAGCTGTCAAAGATTTCATTTTAGTTGGTTCCATAATCAATACCCATGGAAGAAGCAGTCAAGAAATGAAATGATGCATTGCATTGGACAAATCTGCTATAAGACATCTTTAATGTGGTAAAGAGCAAAGATGTCACTTTGAAGACTAAGGTACACCTGACCCAAGCCATGGGCTTTTCAAAATCTCACATGCATGTGAAACCTGGATAATAAATAAGGAAGACTGAAAAAGAATTGATGGATTTGAATTAGAGTGTTGGTGAAGAATATTGAATGTACCGTGAACTAATAAAAGAATGAACAAATATGTCTCAGAGAAATGACAGTTTTTATCATCCTTAGATGTAAGCATGGTGAGACTTCGCCTCTCATATTTTGAACATGCTATTAGGAATGATCAGCCCCTGGAAAAGGACATCATGCTTTGTAAAGTAGATGGTCAGTAAAAAAGAAAAAAAAAAAAGAAAAACACTCAACAAGATGAATTGACACAGTGACTTTGTCAATGGGCTCAAACACAGCAAAGATTGTGGGGATGGCACAGGACAAGGCAGTTTTTTCATTCTGTTGCATGTGAGGTCGCTAGAATTGAAACTAACTTGAGAGGACCTAACAATAGCATGATCTTACTGGTAGTTATTATTACTATCACCAGTTATGAGAGAGATAAAACAAGGCACACATAGCACCTTTTCCAGGGTTAAAGCACTAGTCAGGGACAAGAAGTCTGATTTAGAGCCTGAGCACTCACCTTCTCTTTTGTATTCTCTCTTAACCACATTGGCATATTCTATATAAATAGCCATGTTCTAACCATGACATTAAAAAAAGTACAATCTTTTATATACATGAACTTAAGTCAATGGACAAAAATTTCCTTGAGTAGTTTTTTGAAAGTTTTTTTTATAAGAATAGCATCTGACCAGCATAGCATCTGACACAAAAACTAAGAGAAAGATTAACATGAAGTTTAAATGTGTGCTTTGCCAGATAAATGTTATAAGCAATTTTTTCACACCTTAAGGATAGATATCATCGACACCAAGGCTCTCTTAGTTATGTCTCATTGACAGGGTGCCTGCACTGAGTCATAGGAGCCTATGAACTCTTTCAGGACCTCAAAAGTGTTCTAAGGAGATAGTCCATACTGGCATGCACAATCTTTGACCATTAACAGAATAATGTCAAAGAATGCTCAATCTTTAGCAAAAATAATTTTCTAAGCAACTATGAACAAATTAATGTTTAATAATATGCATACTAATAGAATTTCAGCATTTAAAGTAGTGTCTTCTAACATCACCACTCAAAAATTAGTGACTGGAGAGAAATACATGTCAACAATTCCCGGATGAAACTGATATTTAACTCACTTATGACCTATGGCAATTTAAATAATAATGTTATTTGACATCTTGAAGACATGGAGAAATTTCAACAGTGCTGCTGAAATAATGAGAGAAGTATGAGTTAACATCATGTCAAAGTTCAATTTTACTCAAATATGTGTGTTTTCTGTACGTAAGTAAAAATGTTCTAATGAAGTCGAAAATACTTCAGAGTTTTCATACACAGATAGATCTGCACTATCTCCACAGGTTACTGTTTGGGCAAATAGAGAGATTTTTTTAGGAACTGAATTTTATTTTCTTTTGGTAGGATATATTCTTGGCTCTCCAAAGGCCCTAATCTTTTGGATTGTATCACATTGAACCATGTGCATATTTAAATGCCTTTTTGAAATTGAGTTTGCAACTTCTGCAACAAACTCAGAAGTCATTTTTTTTTTTTTACTTGCTTATGGAGAATTTAGTATTTGTTGTAATAATTTAATATCCTAGAAAATTAGAGAAGTAACTATGTAGACCTTAATATGTATCAATCAAAAGAAGAATCATTATTTCTTTTAGAAATGAGTTAATGTGCTAATAAAAATAGAAAGTTTTAATCTTGTAGCTTTCAAAATTTACACATGTGTTTTACAGTCTTCTTATTTATAATAATTGTAAATATTAAATCATTCTGATTGGCATATTCTATATAAATAGCCTTATTCTAACCACGATATTAAAAAAAGTACAACCTTTTATATACATGAACTTAAGTCAATGGACAAAGAGTCATTTTGAGTAGTTTTGTGAAAGTTGTTTTATAAGAATATTGTTGTTGTTGTTATTTGCCGTCGAGTTGGCCCTGACTCATAGCGACCCCTCCTTGGGTTTCCGAGGCAGTATCACTACGGAAGTAGGATTGCCCAACCTTCCTTCCGAGGAGTGGCTGGTGGGTTTGAATCGCCAGCCTTCTGGTTAGCAGTCAAGTGCCTTAGGCACTATGCTACCAGAGCTCCTATATATAAGAATATTATTCTACTCAAAATTATTTACAAACAAGTAATAAATCACAAGCACTTGTAAAAATGCTTGGGATTTAGAAGGTATTCAAAAATTATTGTTTAATTGAATTAACTAAACCTTATTTCTAGTTTTGTCACTTATTAGTTCATTGAGATCACAGTTTTGTCTCATCTTTCCCACTCTTGACTTAATTCAGTTCTGTCACACAAATATTATTTTACCCTTTTCTTATCCTCATATTGCTTTCATCATCATTCTTGACCTCAATGGTTTCCTCCTCACCTCCTTTGAGAATCCCATTCATCAATAAGTTAATAAACAACATTTGAGCATTAATAAGAATAATCTGTTAATAATTTAGAAAAAAAAAAAAAGAATATCCTTCAAACTTAGAAAAACACATAGAAATTTCCAAACAGGAAAAAATGATTCTGAATATTTGCATTCATTTTAGGACACATTATCATGTTCATCATGGCCAACATCACCAGGCCTGAGATGGGAAAAGCGATGGTGTGACCTCAGATTGATTCCCCTACTTCATTCCCGTTTCTCTCAGTATGTCCCTGGGACAGATTTGAGTCGGTGAGTTCATATTCATGACTTCTGACTTTTATTGATTGAAAAAGGGAAAAATAAACTTTTGACATAATATACTTTATGATTGTTCTTTTAGCACCTTCTTTATAATAGAAATGACTACAAAGGAATAACATAATGACAAAAAACACAAGTTAAAGCCCTGATTCTACTACTACCTTATTGTAATTGAGTCAATGTGTTCAATAAATAGAATTCTGTTGGCTTTTGTACTTCTTTTTGTTTTACTTTTAGTAACTTGCTTTTAACTAATATTAACTATATAGTCAATATAATTGTAAAATTTATTTTCATATAATTATTCATAATATTATCTTTTTTAGTAAAAGTAGGATCATTAGTGATGTCTTTTTATTTTTTAAAGTTTTTTTTTCTATTTATAGCTTGATAGTTTTTTATAGGAATTTATGAATTTCACTAATTTCCTTTCAAATGACTCCTATTTGATGTTATTGATTCTCTCCAATACGTGTATACCTTCTGTTTAATTAGTTTTATCTTGATTGCTTCCATTCTTTAAACTCTTTTATGTTAATTTTGTGCTCTTATCATTACTTCAGAAATAAATTACAGAGATTAGGAAACATTTTTATAAAGTACCTTTATAAATATAGTACACATATTTACCATATAGTAAATATTTTAGGCTTTGCATGCTATATTGTCTCTGTCACATATACTCAATTTTTCTGAAATAGACTGAAAATAGTCATAGATAATATAGAAAAGAATAAGGATGACTCTGACAGTATAAAATAGTTTAATATTCTAAAAATGTCAGAATTACATAATTTCCTCAAAGTCTGCTTTGGCTACACCCACAAGTTTTAGAATTATATGTTTATTTATCTATAGATGTTTTACTATATCACTTTTCTGACTGGTTTCTTTGGGGACTACAATTTGACTTACCAAAATCTACAGTGTTTACCATTTCCAATGAACCATAGGAAACTTACTTCCAAATACCTTTATTCTCCCCAAATTGTAAGTATAATTATCTTATGCTTTTCTCTACATACATTGGATACCATTTCATATCATATTATGACTTTGCTTTAACCATCAAATATTATTTAATGAACTAATTAGATAAATATAATCTACTATATTTACCCCGGAGCTCTGGTAGCATAGTGGCTAAGGCACTTGACTGCTAACCAGAAGGCTAGTGGCCCAGCCACTCCTCAGAAGGAAGATGGGGCAATCTACTTCCGTAGTGATACTGCCTCAGAAACCCAAGGAGGGGTTGCTATGAGTTGAGTCTGACTCAACGGGCACATAACAACAACAACAACAACAACAACAACAACATATTTACCTCAATGTTTACCCATTAGTTGTTAAATTCTTCCTTTCTGAATTTCCAAGCCTTCTCTTATCATTTCTTTTCTGTTTGTAGAACACTCTTTAATCATTCTTTAAGGCTATATTGGCTAATATCAAATTATTTTATGATTCTTTGAAAATATTTTCATTTTGTGTTCATTCCTGAAAGATAGCTTCCATAGATGTAGAATTCTCATACATAGGTCTTTTATTTTAGTAACTGAAAAATGTTGTGCTACTTCCTTTTCTCTTCAATCATTTTAGATAAGAAATTTGCTATCATGTAAATCAGTGTTCACATAAGTAATATGCTGGTTCTCTTTCTGTCTGCTTTCAATATCATTGTTTTTCTCTTTAATTTTCAGAAGCTTAATTGTGATGTCTTTTCAAATATATTTATTTTGTTTGTCATGTTAGAGACCATTAACATTCTTGAATCTATAGGTTTATGTCTTCCACCAAATTAGGGAAGAGTATTGCCATTATTTCCTCAGATACTTTGTCAGTCATGGTCACCCTCCTCTCTTTCTGGCATTCTGATGAGAAGAGTGTTAACTCTTTAAAAAAAAAAAAAAAGTATTGTGATTTGGATGAAAGTTTACAGAGCAAATTCATTTTCCATACAACAGTTCATACACATTTTGTCTCATGACATTGACTGCAATTCTCCACAATGTAACAGCTCTCTTCCTACTTCCTCCCAGTGAGTGTAGAATTCTCATTGACAGTTCTTTTATTATTAACTACTTTATTATTGTCACACAGGAGCCTGTGGTAATTGACAATGTTCTTTTTCAAACAATGTATTTCCTTTCTGTTGTTAAGAGAAGATAGACTCGTTGATATGTCTTCCAGTTTGAAGTTACTGTTCTCTTTCACTACCACTCTATTACTAAGCTTATCCGAAGAAATTTCACTTTTTTTTTTTTTGTTAATATATTTTTTAGTTCTAAATATCTATTGGCAATTCCATGTAACTTTTATTTGCTGAAATCTTGCTTTTCTATTCAGTTCAAGAGAATCTTAATTGCTTGCTGAGGCATTTTGAAAGTAGCTGTTTTAAAGTACTTGCCAGATAATTCCAGCATCTGAGTCATTGTAGTGTTGATTTTTTTTTTTTTTTTGTCTTTCATTATTTAAGTTGTAATTTTTTCTGGATGTTCATATGACATTTATATTTTATTTTTATTCTCTGCATATTGCCTGTTGAGTTATAAGAAAGTAGAGCTATTTAATGTTCTTTTTTCAGAAGGCAGTACCCTAGTTACCACTGCTGTGCACCCATAGTGTACAGGTTCAGTTCTAACAGAGTTTCCAGACTAAATCAGACTAAGGAGAAAGACATGGTGGTCTAATTCTGAGAAAATTGGCCATTGGAAGCCTTATGGGTAACAGTGGAACATTGTCTGATATAGGACTAGGTGAACAGCTCAGGTCAGAAGACATTCAAAATAGGATGGGAGAAGAGCTGCCTCCTCAAATCAGAGTCGACCTAAATGAAATGAATGGAGTAAACCTTTGAGGATACCCATTTGCTGATGTGCATGGCTCAAAATGAGAAGAAATATCTCCAAACATTCTTTAATAAGCAGAACATGAAATGTATAAAATATGAATCTTGAAAAATTGAAAATCATTAAAAATGAAATGAAACACATAAAGATTTATCTTTAGGCATTGGTAAGATTAAATGGACTGGTATTGATCATTTTGAATCAGACAATCATGTGGTCTACTATGCTGGGAATGATGAATTGAAGAAGAATGGCATTACATATATAATAGAAAAGAACATTTCAAGATCTGTCTCTAAGTACAATGCTTTCAGTGAGAGGAGCTGTAGTATTGTAGAAGAATACTGAAATTACCATGGACTGCCAGAAGAACTAACAAATCTGTCCTGGGAGAAGAGCAGTAGAAATGCTCCTTGGATGCAAGAATAACCAGACTTTGTCTCACATACTTTGATCATGTTGTCAGAAGGGACTGTTCTCTAGAGAAAAATATCATGCTTGGTAAAGTGGAGAGTCAAAGAAAAAGTGGAAGGCCCTTAATGAGATGGATTGACATAGTGGCTGCAACAATGGCCTCAGTATAACAAAGATTGTGAGGCTGGCACAGGACCAACAGAGTTTCATTCTTTTGCATGTAGGGTCTCTATGAGTCAGAGTTGACTCAACAGCACCTAACAACAAGAATAAGGAAGACCAGTTGATATTCCAATTATTCAGATTTACACATCAACCACTAAAGCCAAAGATGCAATTGAAGAAGAAATTGAAGATTTTTACCAAATTCTAAAGTCTGAAATTGACAAAACATGCAATCAAGATGTATTGATTATTACTGCTGATTGGAATACAAAAGTTGGGAACAAATAAGAAGCATTAGTAATTGGAAAATATGGCCTTGGTGATAGAAATGACATTAGAGATCACATAATAGAATTTTACAAGACCAACCACTTATTCATTGCAAATACCTTTACCAACAACATAAATTGTGACTATACATATGGACCTTAACAGATGGAAACACAAAAATCAAATTGACCACATCTGTAGAAAAAGACAACGGAGAAGCTCAATATCATCTATCAGAACAAGACTAGCAGCTGACTGTGGAACAAACCATCAATGGTTCATATGACAGTTCATGTTGAAGATGAAGAAAATGAAAACAAGTCCATGATAGCCAAAATACAGCCTTCAGTATATCCCACCTTAATTTAGAGATCATCTAAAGAAGAGACTTGATGCATTGAAAATCAATGATGGAAGCTCTGTTGAGTTTTGGGATGACATCAAGAACATCATACATAAAGAAAGTAAAAGGAAATTAAAAAACAGAAGAAAGTAAGAGAAGACAAAAATGGATGTTAGAAAAGATTCTGAAACTTGCTTTGGAACGGAGAGTAGCTACAATGAATGGAAAAAATATTAAATAAATGAGCTTCACAAAATTTGTCAAAGGATGGCTCAAGAAGACAAAGTAAAGCATTATAATGAAATGTGCAAAATCTTGGTATTAGAAAAACAAAAGGGAAGGACACATTTGGCATTTTTCAAGGTGAAAGGAATGAAGAAAAAATTGAAGCTTCGGGTTGCAATACTGAAGGATTCTAAGGGAAAAATATTGAATGATTCAAGAAGTGTCAAAGGAAGATGGAAGGAATACACAGAATCACTGTACCAAAAAGAATTGGTTGACAATTCAAACATTTCAGGAGGTAGCATGTGACCAAGAACCAATGGATTTGAAGGAAGAAGTCCAAGATGCACTAAGGAATTGGTGAAAAAAAATAGCTACAGGAATTAAAGGAATACCAATTGAGATATTTCAACAAACGGATGCAATTCTGGAGGCATTTACTCGTTTATGCTCAGAAATTTGAAAGACAATTACTTGGTCAATCAACTGGAAGAGACAGATATTTATACCTATTTGAAATAAAGGAGATCCAACAGGATGTGGTAATCATTGAACAACATCATTAATATCACATGCAAGTAAAATTTTGCTGAAGATATTTCAAAAATGCCACAGTAGTATAATGACAAGGAACTACTAGAAATTCAAGCCAGATTCAGAATAGGGCAAGGAATAAGGGATATCATTGCTGATGTCAGGTAAACCTTGGCTGAATGCAAAGAATA